CGTCGATCATGGCGGCACGATTCGCAAACAACTCTTCCTTTTTGCATATGTTGATAAAAAGTGAAAGCTTCGTGTCTGCAGATTGCAACTTTATGAGAACTTTAACTCGTTTTCGAATGTAGATAAGTTTCAAAGCAACGAGATAGGCCTATATTATCTTCACTCCTTCAAGCATGGCGTCCCGTTGCTAATACACCTCTCCCCATTGCATGTATTGATAAAAAGTGAAATTGTAGTCTCTAGCAAATTGAAACGTTGAAAGAATTTTGACTCGTTCTCAAAAAACGTTTCAAAACACCAACGAGAAATAGGCCTACATTCCCTCCACTCCTTCGTGGCGCCCCGTTGCTAATCCACCTCTCCCCCCCCCTTTGGCAGATCTGGACGACGGCGAGAGCGTGGTGTCGACGACCGTCAACAACAACTACGACAAGCAGTGGAAGACGACGACCCCGTCCTTCCAAGCAGACGCCCCCAGGTTCATGGCTCCGGGGAACGCCACCGCCGCCGCGCCCCTCCTGTGCCAGTCCCTCGAGGGCGCGCGCGGGAGCCCCCCCCAGCAGCAGCAGCAGACCTTCGCCCCCGGCCAGCGCCTCGGCAAGCAGACCGTCGGGGGCGGGTGGGTGCGGCCCTTAGGCTACGCGGAGAAGTTCATGACGGCCGCCCATGGATACGGCTGCATGACGACGGTGTACTCGCTGTGGCTGGACTCCCGGACGCCCCTGAGCCTTGATGTTATCAAATATGCGGCGACTATTATGTACAGGTAGCGTGGTGGTCGCAATAGAGGGGTGCGAGTGGGGTCAGGTTGCACGTTTAACCTTTAGGTATTGGGACACGTGCTTCATTTGCTTCTGAGTCTGTCATGTTTGCATATCTTGGAAATACCGAAGTAATTATGATTTTTATTTTCTTTCCAGTGTAGTAGCCTTACGTTGTATGTGTGCGAGCATTGATGACTTGGTTATTTTTGTTCCTTTTTTTAATCATGTGTCAGCGACATCACACACTGAAAGTAAAAGTCAAAAAATATACTTTCACTATTTATGATGAAGCCGCCACTGCTCTCCGTTCCAGTAAATCCAACATTGCTACAACTTAGATAACGTCCTGCGCTACAACCTTGTGAACATGTCATGATTTACATATGATAATTCCTATCGCAATAACTTAGTCACACGATCCCAGCCTGACATGCATGCAATACTGAATACACGACAGCCCACAATGTCGCTTCTCTGACCCTCCTTCCCCCGACAGGAAGATGCCGAACCTGCGCATGGAGATGGCGGAGCGCGACGGCCGCCTCTGGTGGAGGGAGATGGCGCGGGAGGTCGTCAACGTGGAGGAGCTGGAGACCCGGGACGTGGAGGGCGCCGTGGAGACCTTGCTCAAGCGGCGCTACGACGTCAAGGCGGGGCCCCTGTGGTTCACGCGGTTCATCAGGCTCAGCCCGCAGGAGCAGGGCGTGAGGGACGACAACCACAACTTGAAGTACAAGTACGCGTGTCTCTTCGGCTTCCACCACAACGTGAGCGACGGGACGACCAACATGAAGTTCTGCAAGGTGTTCCTGAAGGTGCTGAACGACCTGGTGCAGGGCAAGGAGATCGACATGTGTCAGGAGGGCACCTTCGCTCCCCCGCTGCAGGACCGCCTGGCCGACCGCATCGGCGCCTACTTTCTGTTCGTCTACATGTTCCTGCGGCGCCTGTACACGTGCATCCTCACCTTCGGCATCCCGGTCAGGAACTTCACCAGCCGCTTCCGCATGCCCGCGCACAACGAGGCGGCCACGCGCATGATCCACCACGAGCTCGACGAGGACGCCACGCGCAAGCTGCTCCGCCGCTGCAAGATGGAGGGCGTGACGCTCAACTCCGCCTTCACCGCCGCCGCCAACCTCACCATGTACAAGATGATGGCGCAGAAGGGCGGGCGGCTGAAGAACACCGACTTGTGGTCGTCGCAGGCGGTGAACATGCGGCGCTACTGGCCCAAGGAGCAGCAGAGCAACAGCTTCGGCTGCCACATCTCCCTGCTGGACGTGAGCTTCCCGACGGGCCCCGACGACGAGAGGGCCTTCTGGAGGTACGCGCGGCAGGTGCACGCCAGGCTCAAGTACCACCTGACGGAGTCGAAGCGCGCGCTGACGCTGCAGCCGATGAGCGAGCGCCTCATCATCCTGATCCGCCACAACGCGTGGCTGGCGTGGCTGCGGCTGCCGTCCGCCAACGACGGCCACTACACGGTCACCAACATGGGCGACCTGACCCACACCTTCCCGGGCACGGGCGAGGAGGTCGAGGTGTCGCTCGTCCTGCGCTCCGTGTCGTGCCACTTCATGCCCACGCTGTGCCAGCACACGCTGCAGACCTTCCGCGGCCGCTTCTGCTACTCCCTCGACTACTACACGCAGAAGATCACGAAGGAAAACGCCACCACGTACGCCCAGGGGATCATGGACTTCCTCCGCTACGCCATCCACGCGCCGAACTGAGTCCCGAGGAGCAGGTGGCGGAGCAGCGCCTCTCGGATCGAAGGACGATTCGCGCGACAGGTTCTGGCTGTCTTCCCCTGAGACCTGACCTCCACGGTGGATCTGTGGGCGTGGTTTTATCTTTTTGATGTGCGCTATTAAGGGAAAGTGAAATATAAAGCGGCCCCATCTTTATATTATCACTGCCGTGTTAAAAGTTTAAGTGAAGAAACTAAAACTTATCTGGAGAATTTGAAATGCATACAACTTCCGGGATATTGCGAGTGTCTGTTATAACGAACCTCCCGTGTCCGATGAAGGAGGCGATATTAGTGTGCGAATTGTGTGCGATCCATTGTGCAATATGAAAATTCTCCAATAAACAATGCCTCAGGAGTTATGACTTGTTGTTTGTGTTAATGTTTATGTGTTTGTAGCAGGTGTAAAGAGTGAACGTGTTGGCATTTGCCTTTTTTTATTATTAATTCATAGTATTTACCGATACCAAAAATAAAAATGCCAGCAAAAATATTGTTAATGTACTGAATGCAAATGCCATGTCAGTTATCTTGTATAACATAAATATATCTCTCCTTTTTTCAGAAACAGATCTCTTCTTTCCACCAAAGAAACGATAAAACTGTGATTTAGAATAACAGTTTAAATAATATATAACCAAAGACCTGTCATCATGTTCCCTTACATCAATATATTTTTTCACAACTACAATTACACGTAATACAACAAAGACATCTTGCAAACAAAAATACAAACACTGTAACGTATCTACATAGATAGAACGAAACACTGCCGGGATAGGAACGGAATAATACGTCACGTTTCGGACTAACAAGGTCTCCTCATCAGGCGCAGTAAAAATGGAAAATTAATTCTTCGATTTTTCCTTCATCTGAAGAGGTCGCGAAGTCCAGGTTTTACATCGTCCCTATTTGAACAGGAATTCATTTGAACATCTATTTTTTTTGTGTGTGTGTGTGTAATAAAACCTTATAATTGAGCAAAGAAACATAAGAAGTACGGTAAGATATGAGTATGAGGTCTGTACAACAAAGAACCCTAACGTTAAAAAAAAGTTTTATCTACAGGTTGACTTAACTACTTTTCCTTCCACTTCAAAAGAAAACGTATTTTGACGCATAGTGCACAGTTATCATAGTGATTTTATTAATGTATATTTCATTATCCAAAACATCAGTGATATTTCGGTCAGAATTTCACAAATTTAAACCTCAAACTGGGGCTTAATCTGGAGGAGAAGGTGGAAGAGGGTGAATGAAGGAGTCCTCTTGTAAAAAATGAAAAGATGAAAAATAGGTAGGGGAAAGGAGGAAAAATAGATAGGGATGTAGGAAGAGAGAGAAAGATTGGGGAAGGAGGGAAAAGATAGATAGGGAGGTAGGAAGAGAGAGAAAAGATTGGGGGAAGGAGGGAAAAAGATAGATAAGGAGTAGGAAGAGAGAGAAAAGATTGGAAGGAGGAAAAATAGATAGGGAGTAGAGAGAGTAAAGGGGGGAAGGAGGGAAAAAGATAGATAAGGGGTAGGAAGAGAGAAAAGATTGGGGAAGGAGGGAAAAATAGATAGGGAGGTAGGAAGAGTGAGAAAATTGGGGGAAGGAGGGAAAAAATAGATAGGGAGGTAGGAAGAGAGAGAAAAGATTGGGGGAAGGAGGGAAAAAATAGATAGGGAGGTAGGAAGAGAGAAAAGATTGGGGGAAGGAGGGAAAAAATAGATAGGGAGGTAGGAAGAGAGAGAAAAGATTGGGGGAGGGAAAAAATAGATAGGGAGTAGGAAGAGAGAGAAAAGATTGGGGAAGGAGGGAAAAGATAGATAGGAGGTAGGAAGAGAGAGAAAGATTGGGGAAGGAGGAAAAAATAGATAGGGAGGTAGGAAGAGAGAGAAAAGATTGGGGGAAGGAGGGAAAAGATAGATAAGGAGGTAGGAAGAGAGAAAAAGATTGGGGGGAAGGAGAAAAAATAGATAGGGAGGTAGGAAGAGAGAGAAAAATTGGGGAAGGAGGGAAAAAATAGGGGGTAGGAAGAGAGAGAAAAGATTGGGGAAAGGAGGGAAATAGATAGGAGGTAGGAAGAGAGAGAAAAGATTGGGAAAGGAGGGAAAAAGATAGATAGGAGGTAGGAAGAGAAGAAAAATTGGGGAAGGAGGGAAAAGATAGATAGGGTAGGAAAGAGAGAAAAGCTTGGGGGAAGAGGGAAAAAGATAGATAGGGAAGGGTAGGAAGAGAGAGAAAATTGGGGGAAGGAGGGAAAAATAGATAGGGAGGTAGGAAGAGAGAGAAAAATTGGGGAAGGAGGAAAAAGATAGATAGGGAGGTAGGAAGAGAGAGAAAAAGATTGGGGGGAAGGAGGGAAAAATAGATAGGGAGGTAGGAAGAGAGAGAAAAGATTGGAAGAGGGAAAAAATAGATAGGAGGTAGGAGAGAGAAAAAATTGGGAAGAGGAAAAAGATAGATAGGAGGTAGGAAGAGAGAGAAAAGATTGGGAAGGAGGGAAAAGATAAGATAGGAGTAGGAAGAGAGAGAAAAGATTGGGGGAAGGAGGGAAAAATAGATAGGGAGGAGAGAAGAAAAAGATTGGGGAAAGAAAAAAGATAGATAGGGAGTAGGAAGAGAGAAAGATGGGGAGGGAGGGAAAAAGATAGATAGGAAGGTAGGAAGAGAGAGAAAAGATTGGGAAGGAGGAAAAAATAGATAGGGAGGTAGGAGAGAGAGAAAAGATTGGGGAAGAGGGAAAAAGATAGGAGTAGGAGAGAGAGAAAGAGGGGAAGAAAAAAGATAGATAGGAGTAGGAAGGAGAGAGAAAAATTGGGGGAAGGAGGAAAAAATAATAGGGAGGTAGGAAGAGAGAGAAAAGATTGGGGGAAGGAGGGAAAAGATAGATAGGGAGGTAGGAAGAGAGAGAAAAGATTGGGGGAAGGAGGGAAAAAGATAGATAGGAGTAGGAGAGAAAAAGATTGGGGAAGGGAAAAATAGATAGGAGGTAGGAAGAGAGAGTAAAGATTGGGAAGGAGGGAAAAAGATAGATAGGAGGTAGAAGAGAAAAGATTGGAAGAGGGAAAAATAGATAGGGAGTAGAAGGAGAAAAATTGGGGGAAGGAGGGAAAAAATAGATAGGGAGGTAGGAGAGAGAGAAAGATTGGGGATAGATAGGGAGGTAGGGAAGAGAGAGAAAAGATTGGCCTTGGGGAAGGAGGAAAAAATCAGTTGGGAAAAAGAGAAATAGAGAAACAAAGACAGATAGAAAGAAAGAAAAAACCTTCCAGTCAGTCTCTTTTTAACTGTAAACATGACCTGATTTGAGTGACTGGTCTCTAGTATTATTTTTTTCTTTTTTCATATCCCTTTGTTCTATCATTTTCTTATCCTTTTCTTTTTCACTTATTTCTCTACAATTGATATTTGGGGGTTGGTTTTCCCCAGTGTTCAGAGACCGCTGATAACTGATGAAAGGATAGATTGAGGAAAATCCATGAACATTCCCTCAAAATGGCCCATAACTGAAGGAAAATAAAAAAGCTGAGAACTCTTTACCAAAAGTGGAAAAGGTTTTTCTTGGAATTCTACCTCGAGCAATTTGAAGACATGTTTAACTTAACTTTAAAAGGCAGACATTGGACATACATACACACACACACATACACATGTCTATACACCCACGCGTTCCTTCACAGGCAATCTCTACGACAGTTGTGGAAGAAGGAAGAAGTGCAAGCAGATATCTGGAAGAACTCTTGTCTACGTCAGTTCTGATTAAAAAAAAAAAAAAAAGAAAAAAAAAGAAAAAAAATACATAATGTTATTCTGTTTCAGAAAATGTTAACTGGTTTTGAGAGTGCGAGGCGAATCTAATCGAGTTATCTTTCCAAATCTAATCGAGATATCTTTCTATTCCATTCGTAGATATCGATTGGGAAAGGAAAAAGGATTCATTTTGCGAAATAAAAGTATTTAGAACACAAACCTTAAATTTGCTTCTGTGACGCGTAAAAAGTGGACATACAAACACCAAATATATCGTCATACGCCTCTTAATTTTCCACAGTTACTTCAACACACAATACAGATGATATATAACGAGATATAACCTTGTTGAAGCTGCCATTCATTGAACGAATCTGTTCATTCATAATAAAAAGGTTTGTTTACTATCGGGAGCGTTGCCAGATCTCACCAGACCCGTAATACTTCGTACCATTTATTGTCTTTATTATCATTTCTTCAATAAGCTCTGAAAAAAAAAAACAAGCAGAAAAAAATACTATATTCTTACCCCATAGCCTTTATATACAGACGCTTTTCTGTTGAATTCCAGAACGTAGGCCTATATGCATTCTTACTGGCAATAAAAGATATATAATACTTTTCAGGTACGTTCCTTGACGCAAAAATTTAGGCTCCAAATTCAAAAAACAACATGTTACCTCATTAATAAACTTAATTATGTACAAAGTGATAATTTCCTCTTTCGACATAGTGTGATCATCACCATTACACTGCGATGGAAATTAACGGATTCGGATAATTTGTTTATACTGAAATGAATGTTTCATGTTTGTTGTGTTGTGTCCTTGGGGATTTTCGTGTAAAAGTGACTGATTGTGTTTCATTATGATATTTGCGCAAATCACTGTAAAAATATAATTGAATGAATATTAAATGTTATGAAACAAAGAGAGCTACTGAAACAAGTATACTATTATGCTTCAACATCCTTCCTGTGTTATCAGCCATTGGATAACATACATAGTAAAATTAATAGATATGTACTTATGCATACATACACCCACACTTAAACTAGTACATATATTATGTATGTATGTATGTATATATCTATCTGTCTATCTATCTATATCTATCTATCTATCTATCTATCTATCTATCTATCTCTCTATCTATCTATCTCTCTCTATATATATATCTGCTCATTTACCCATATATATAATATATATATATATATATATATATATATATATATATATATATATA